TTTTTTTTAGCTTAGCCTCTTTGAATTAAAGGCTTTTYCAGAGTCTCACTTTACTGATAGTTATGGACTTTAAAATTTCCAGCCAAAATGTCCTCATGGCTGCACRTCTGTTCTTCTGCCAGTGTTGCCAGTTTGAGAAGTTCTCTTTCTTCCTGCTTCATTGTCTCATTTTCTCTCTCCCCATTCACTTGCACAGACAGACAGTGTCAGCCTTCATTTTTGCAAGATTCACCAAACTAATATTTTTCTAGTGGCATCTCCAACGAGCATTCCAACCTCCTCACCAGCATACAGCCCATCTCCTGCAGTTTGAGTTCATAAATAACCTTTACAGCACCCAGTATCCCACATTAAAGCTTGCTGGTGTCTTGTACAGAAACACCCACGTATCCCTGGTTTTGCCAGGTGTATGTGATGATGCACTGTACTGCTGGATCTGCCATTGTCCTGGCTACATCACCTTATGGGCCAATCTTCGTGAGATGCTAATGTCTCAGATATACCCAGAAAGTGTATTCTTTTCAATAACTGACTGTGTCCCCTTTTGTCTTACAGTTTCTGTGCTTATCCTTGTTTTCTTCATTACCAGTTCCCATTTAGCAGTGTTAAAATCTTAACAGAGATCCAAAGGGATGAGTTCAAATTCATATCAGACTTCTAAAAAAAATCAAAGAAGAATGTCAGGTATGTCTGGCATGACATCCATGTTTTCTTTTACCCCATTTTCCAAGACTTTASTTCATAGAATTATTGAATATCCTGGAATGGAAGGGGCTCACAAGGATCATGGGGTCCAGCTCCTGACCCTGCYTAGGACACCCCAAGAGTCATGCCATGTGCCTGAGAGCATTGTCCAAACACTTCTTGAGCTCTGTCAGGCTGGTGCTGTGACCACTGCCCTGGGGAGCTGTTCCAGTGCCCAGCGACCCTCTGGGGAGGAACTGTGTTATAATATCTGACCTAAACCTGTCCTGACACAACTGCAGCCATTTCATCACGTCCTGCTGGTGGTCACCACAAAGCAGAGATCAGTKTCTGCCCCTCCTYTTCCCTTCAGGAGGAAGCCRTAGATTGYGATGAGGTCTCTCCTCAATCTCCTCCAGGCTGAACCAACCAAATGACCACAGCCATTCCTCGTACCTATTCCTCTTAAGGTGCTTCCCCATCTTTGTAGTCCTCCTTTCAACACTCTCAATAGCTTTATGTACTTCTTATATTGTGGCTCTCAGAACTGYCCCCAGCACTCGAGGTGAGGCCGCTCCAGCCCAGAGCAGAGCAGGACAATCCCTCCCTTGCCCAGCTGATGATGCTGTGCCTGATGCCCCCCAGGCTGGCCCTCCCAGCTGCCAGGACACTGCTGGSTCATSTTCAGCTTGCCATTGACCAGCACCCCCAGCTCCCTTTCCACAGCACTGCTCTCCAGCCTCTCATTCTCCAGTCTGTCTGTGTGTCCAGGGTTGCCCCATCTCACATGTATAACCCGTCACTTGCCTTTGTTGAACTTCATATAGTTGGTCATTGCTCAGTCCCCCAAATTTCAAAGGTTTCTCTGCAGGGCCTCCCTGTCCTTGAGGGAGTCATAATAATGACTCATTATTTAGTGTCATCAGCAAATTTACTTATTATGTCTTTGAGTCCTGCGTCCCAATTGTGTTACTCTTCACTTCAAAATTTCTTCTAAAGCCCTGCATGGTAATATCAGATTACAGGCCTCAACTCACTAATTGACTTATTTTTTCCCTTCCTTTAGGGGAACTAAGTTTTCTGCTTCTYAGTTATGTTGCATCATCTTCAAATTCATAGATAAGGGACAAATACTAGTTATCAAACCTAAATTCATATGCTGTTTCTTACAGTGGTTTCCYGATAGAGATTATCTACTTCCGCTGAATGTGCTAAACTCCTGGAGTTTTCTTTCCACTCAGTTGCTATTTCTATCAATGTGATATGGATAATTCCCATTACCTGCCTYTTCTTCTTTCTCAGTATTTTTCAACTTGTGGAAAACTGATTATTTCTTCACTCATATCTAGAATATATTTAATCACTATCCCAATGTAATTTCATTATAAATCCAACTTCTGTTCCTCTCTGCTATTGTTAATATCTTTCCAGAGTCAACGTTGCCTTAGTTTTTGGTAATCTTTGATTTATGCTTCCATTTCCTGGCCTTCAAAATATATATGTACTTCCTTCTATGCTTTTCAAGTTCCTTCTCTATATGTAAGTACCTTCTCTGTGTTGTCTGTTCCAACCAGAGGATGGTTTGCAATGACCTTTTACAGTTGTTTTTTTCTTGAAAGACAAATCTAAATACATATTTACTTCTTTTAGATATTAAATATTATCATTTTATGTTATAAAAATTAATTTTATGTACTCTATCTGGTTTTGGTATATGTAGTTGTACTTTGAAGGTTCTTTTTCTCAGTAAGCAAACATTCAAAATAAAGCAATACCTTTAAATATTTTGAGCCATTTCCAATTYACTAAAAAGGAAGCTAATTTGGAGCCTCAGATGTAGCTTTGCAGCAGCTGCCTTTCAGAGGGGCCCTGTGATGTGCTGCTGAAAGGCTGTGATTGATTATATTTTTCATTGCTATACTTAGTTATGCGCATATTGTAACTGCATAAAAATGCAGTAACAGAATGTACGTGGAGTTATTTGAATGCCTACCCCGTGCACGTATAACTGCACATGCACATGTAGGTTAGTATTTATGTGCGGAGTAGTGCATGGAATGCCAGAAATTTGACCTTAGATGTCAGAATTGTAACTGTTTCACTTCGGGCCATTCCAATTAAACATCTAGCTGTTGTGGGAGACTCTACCTGAGAGTTTGCACAGTTTTCCCACCCCATCCTCTCCCTTGTGTTTTCAGAGCTGAGGGTGTGTGCAAASCACCTGGAGGAACCCTGTTTCTCCTGTTTTCTCTCTGGCAGAGTGTTCCTCCTGCTGTGGCAGTGGGAAGGGGTGTCTCTGTGGTGACCAGTTGCAGGACATGGGGAAATGGCCTGAAGCTCTGTTCAGAGGAGGTTTAGGTTACAGATGTTCTCCAACTGTATTTGTGGTCTTTATGTGCCTGCCTTTATKTTTCACTTTCAAAGAAGAAGGGGGATGTTTGGTTTAAATGCTGSAGCCCATGAAAATGTTAGGTAGCTGTGGGTAATGGTTATGTTTGAAGAACAGATATGGGGACATTTTTAATTCAGCCTGGGTCAGAATCTGATGAGAAAGGCTTGCCTGACTAAGCATCTAAGCATGGGCCTGTCTACAGATTACATACAAATACAAATTAAACTACCTACTCTACAGACACCCTTAGCATTTAAAGTGCTACAGGAAAATCACATGAGCCTTGACAGTGCAGCAGAATTTGCTGCCAAATCTTTTGGATACTTGAAGACACTGCAGAGCTCCAACTTCTGGTGCTTGATATTGCTGTTCTTACACTTTTTTCCTTGTAGTTTCTCTCGGATTTTGTGAAACCTGCTCTCTGCTTCCCTACTGACTAAGAGGCACCACCAACCAGATTTCAWATACAGTGACCCTTATAAGTGCTCAAATGTTTGGCAGAATTAGGGCATGTGCTTTGGAAATAACGGGATTTTTTTCACTTCATCAGAAATCAGCAGGATCTGCTGGACCTCTAAAATGGCATTGTTACTATCTGTCATTCTAGAAAATCTGCATTTGGATGAATCTGATAGAAGGCTGCCTATCATGGGCAATATCTGGCARGGCTTTGGGAATTCAACACTGAGGTGTGTGATGTTTCCACAGCATGCTGCTTGATGGACCTGGCTTAGGGCTTAGATGAAATCAGTGCACTGAAAGAAAGCCGGCTCTGTGTCCTCAGCCCTCAYAGCTCAGGCTCTGCCCTACTGGTCTGCCGGGAGCAGATCCCTGCTGGAGATCAGCAGGAGCTGAAGGGAAGCCATYTACCCAAACCCTGTCCCCTGGGGATGGGAAGGCTGGCAGGCTCTCCCAGAGTACACGGGTGTCACTGGGAGGGCTGATTTCCAGATCACAGCCTTTGGTAGCTGTGGAAGAGGTGAGCAAGGACCACGTTTCAGGTTTGTTCAGCAGCTCTGTGCTGGAGGCAGAGCAGCAGCACCCTGTCTGCTTCACCCACTGCTGTCAGTGACTTCTGCAGGGCCACGTGGGCACCATCAGATCAGTGTTTGTGCTGATCATATTCCRGGCAGAATATACTAAATTTGTCGTTAAAATGTTGCTTTCATGTAGGYAACAGAATGAAGGTTATTTTGAGGCAAGCTGTGGAGGAGCTGTCCTTGGCAATGATCAAAAACCAAACAGCAAGCAATAAAGCTTGGCACATTATGTGGGTTTGTCACTTGCAGGTGCCACATCCCCTACCCTGCCAACGAGCCCATTTCTGTCTCTTTCTGTTCGTATTTTGATATTTCAAGGACAGGATCCCTGAATAAAGTTTGACATGGCCATTGCCCCTTTTGCAAAAGAGAACATCCAGATACTTGCAATGGCATGTTACCATCCCCAGTGTGATGACCCATGAGTGGACATGCTGCTTCCAGGGGCTGGAGAAAGACAATGGGTGGAGTTCTTGGAGAAACCAAGGGGGCATATCTGTGGAATGGCTAATGACAATTAGAAATTGTCATACACAAATGGCAATAGTAGTTTTGTTTAAAATTGTCTCTGAGTGCAACAGCCTGAACCAGCAAGAATGGTTAAGCTTAATAGGATGCCAGTAAGACAAGCAAAACTTACTGCTTTCATTACAGTGATTTTTTAGGACCTGTGAATCTTTGTAAAATTGCAGCATGATCTATATATGTGTATGAGAAGACCTCAACTACTTTGAAGTGACAGGGCTAGATCAATAACTATCATGTTAATTCTGAAGTGTGCTTTACTGCTTCTGGAAGTTAATCTGATGAGAATGTTTTTCTGATTTGAGCTTTGATCAGTGTGTTATAAAGATGCCTACTTACATCATACCTTTGTTTTGCAGCTCCTGGTTGCTAAATCCCCCGTTGCTCCATTCTCTGCATTTTKCTACACCATTGAGAAATCAGGCTTGGTTCTTCAGGGTAAGACCAGAACCCTGGTTGTTTTGCCTTTTTAATTAATATTTTAAGCAGACTGATTGTAGATAACAACTATTGTGGGAAGCTGTGCTATTTGTATCAACTTAAAACCGCATACGTTTAAACATTCTGGTTGACAAAGGCAGCCTTCTGCTGAATTCACTTTTTTGTCTTGGATTACACTAAATTAGTTCTTGCTTCATGCCATGGATCTAGGAATGGGCCCTGAAATTATTGACCAAGGCTCCCTGTTTTCCTCCAAGGTAAAGTGGAATAGTTTGGGTAACATGGGCCCTATAGGATGGGTTTTTTTCAGGAGAAACATACCCATCTATCATTAATAACCTGCTCTAATAAATGGTTCTTAGCAAATGGCTTGAYGTCACTAAAAATGTAGGAAATTAATACCTGTTTTCTATTTTTGTGATTATTTTAATGTTATTTCCCCATGGTCTTAAATTATCCTCAGATTTTCTAGGACATGAAGTGGTATAMTAAAAAGCTGGATATTACTACCATGCTGACAGGGAGCTAGGATTCCTCATGACTGTGTCCYAAATCATGGCCAGCCACAGCAAAGAAGTCCAGCTTTTCACTTCTTTTCCCTGTTTATCCCAACAAAAATCCTTATTTTTTAGCAAACATTCCTAGCTCAGTTTTGTTGTTGCTGTCTTCTGATATGCAGCCTGGCTCCTTATCACTGTATTGGTTTAACAGACTGAATAAAACCAGTCAGTGCCTATCACTTTTTGTTCAGGGGAGACACTGGGATATGCAGCCATGGCAATAAGACAAGTTAGTACAGCTGGTTCAGGTTCCAGGCATTGATAATCACTGGTCCCATGAGGTACTATCAACATTTTAAGGAATGTGAGCAGTTCTCCTCCTTCTGATTGCACATTTCTCAATTTCAAACAGGTTGTAGCAGACTAATGACATATTTATATTTCCTRGTGACTCAATGTGTTTACATCTCAGTTGATGCAAAATGTCAGAAAACAAAAGAAATGAAAATGTTTTACGGTGCATTTTTGCTCCTATTTGGTACATCTATATAATTATAATGGGTGGGGGAGGTGTCCACACAGTGCTTCCTAAGCCTTTGGATACTATTTTCAGCTATCTAATTCTTAGATAGCACTTTGGGCACTTGATCTGGTACCAGTAATTCTAAAAGTCTACAGGAACTAAAACAATTTTTATTAGTTTAAACTGAGGTTGCTTGCAAGGGTTGGTCTTGACGTGTAATGTTTCAGTATAGGGCAGATGATAAGCTCCTTTTCTATCGTGGATATCTTGATTTATGTAGATGGTTTTGGTCATTATAAAAAAAGGCAGATGTTTTCYTGCTCTGTCCTTAGGCACTAATGTAGTGAAACTTTGGAAAAGAAAGTTTTCCTATTTCAGAAACAGGGAGCATTTGCTCAGAGAGGWTCTTTATTTTTTCAGTTCTTTTCTATGAGCCATGAATGTAGCTTTCCCTGGACTGAACCATACCTTTAGAAAACAAATGGGTCTGGTAACATGTAATGATGATGGAGCAGCACTCTGATAGGAGGATATCACTGTATTAGGAGTGTGGCAATTGCTCTTTTCCCTACACCCATGTGTTTCATTTTRAAACACATTCATTGTTTTTCTACAAACAGTTAAGATACCAGTAATTACTTTAAGTAATGTCTTGATATCAGGCATTCTTTTGTGYCTTTTGGAAGGCAGCTGGAATGTCTTCTTTGTGTGAGCCTTTTATTACTTTCTGACTACATCATTATGTTTCTRTTTTAGACATTTTTTCTCCAAGATGGGTAGCAAGGAAGGACATGGTTTCCCTGATAATGTGCTCCAGACTCTTTGACAGAGACTTGTAAGCACTTACACATGAGCCATCTCACTGAGTTGCAAAAGTAAATATTGCATGGTCTCACCCCACTTTTCAGTGATCATTATTTCTGTGGAAAGAGGAAGTGAGCAAATCACCAGGAAATGTCTGGTTTGGATGAGATGCAGAAAGTGGCACCAGGCTGCCGTTTCCAAGAGAGGCTAGAGTTTTTCTGAGAGTTGTACCTGGTGYTTCTTTCCAAAGGGAAGCTGGATGCAAGGTAAGATGACAGTAAGGCAACTGCCACAGGTCAGCTGGTGACTGCTGGAGGGACATCACATRGCGTGAACAAGTGGAATCTGTCCCGCAGCCTGATTGCAAAGGCCACTCTCCCATTCAGGCTTTGTTGTTTAATTCCCTTGGTGTCAGGAGGTGAGCACATTCAGGGTGGCTGATGGGAACAAGTGGATGGATGTGGGAACTGGTGAGAAGCAGCAGCTGGCTGAAGTGCCCAGGATTTCTTTCTTTTTACTCAGGGGGTCCCATCCCGGGACCATTAACCAATAGGCCATAAACAAATTGATATCGGAAAATGTGGCTGGAAGCTCCCTGATTAGTGAGGGTGAATGGGGAATGAAAGACAAAGTGAAAGTGTGATTTAACAGTTCCACAAGCAATTTCCATTGCCACCTCTGAGGGATTAGGATGTGTGGAATAGGCTAAAAAAATAAAAAGAGGAGGAGGAGCTCCCCCTGCTTTGTTCTGTGGGCTGGAGGATAATAAAACGGCAGGAGAGGCAGTGCGGCTAGTTAGGGATTTCACAGACTGCTATTTGATGCAGTTTAAGGAGCCCTTCTGCTATTGTTGCAGTTAAAATGGGAAGCGGAACTGTTCTCCATTTGCAAAAATCTCCAGCGTCCTCAGGAAGAGGGCTGAGAGCAAAAGGCTATTAAGATGGTAATGCTGCCCCATTTGGAGGAGTGTATCAAAATCCTCTTTGACAATGTAAATCGCTGCTCTGTTTCCCTGGTATCTTTGCATCTCATGGCCTCCRTGCAAGCACAGAAATTTTTGGAGGAGACCCTAGTGAAGGCAGAACTGCTTCTCTTTTATTGTCAGAGGAGATCTTCAAGCTGCCCAAGGGTCCCTTGGAGCAAACATCTTGCTTTTACAAACTTGAAGTGTTCGGGGATGAAGAGAATCCACTTATGCACTCTTTTATTTCCACATTCAGGCTAGAGAAATGAAATGTGATGATTGAAAAGCAAGATTGGACAGTCAGAAATTTAGCAAGAAAAGTCTTCAGCCTCCTGCTTTCATTGCTTCAGATTGCTCTGTGCTATGGAGGGAGTGGACTGCAACCCCAAAAATACCCTCAGTTGCCTTTACTTTGCAATACATTGTCATCTCAGGTTCTGCCATGCTCTACGGTGTCACTCTATGATGAACCTGAGCTGTGAGTGCAGAATCCAGTCTGACAGCAGATCTCTGTTTTGTAGAGATCTTAGACAAAAAGGCAGAAACCTTGACTCAAGCWCTGCAAAATATTGGAAGTTTTACTGTCAACTTGTGTTTGCTGTTTTAAGAACTTGCTGTCACTTCCCAATTTCAATATACCAGCTGAAGTGAATGAAATTATACTGTTAAAGAGGAGAATAACATTAAAAGAGCTCTAGATCTACTTGATTAAGAGTGCAAGTTGTAAGACCATTTTTCTCATTGGCAGTGATATTATTTCTGTTTTGATGGGAAATTACTAGCTGGTAATTCTCTTCTGGCATAACAGTCAGAAGAAATTTTGACCTAATGAAGTTTCRTTGAAGTTGAATGCGGCACATGCTGGGCTAGGTCAGCTGAACTAGAAGATGCTACTCAGTAGCCTTGAGCTCATATATGCAGAAAAGGCTGAATAAACTGATTTTAAGCTGTGGGTGATGATCCGAGTCTAGCAGTGTTTGGGGTATGAATACAAGCTAGCAACGAGCCTAGCTATTACCTGCCAATAGCTCAGCTGTTTGTGGAAGTCTCACTCCATCTTCAGCAAATGCCTTCTGTAACCCAGAGGATGGTGTTGTGTAAGAGGACAGGGCACATGRTGGCCCTTTGCCAGCTGAAGAGTCTGTTGGGACTGAATGCTTTAACTGAGTGATTAACGTTGCTTTTCACTGGAAAAACTCAAAAACACTGAAAACATAAGATAAATTACATTAGAGAGCTAGGACTTGCTTTTGAGTAATGATACATTTTCAGTTTTGTAGGGTTTAAAGATGGGTAGAATGATCAGCTCACCCAAACTGACCACCGTATATCATACTTGTTTCCTTCAGGTACCTGATAACCTTGTTGTACTGAATCATGTCTTCTAGAAACATACTCGCTTGTATTTGAAGACATAAAGAAATGTGAGTTACTGGTTTGCCTTGACAGTGTTTTCAAGTTTTAGCTACCTTGTTGCTAAATTCTTGCGCATTTCAGATTAGAATTTGTCTGCCTTCAGCTTTTGGTCTCCATTCTTGTCATGACCTTCAGTGCTAAAAAAAGCGCTGTTGCTGTTAAATGGTTCCCATTTTTCATGTGTACTCAGCATTATGATTTATCTTGCTATGTTTTACTCTTCCTTTTGAAAGAAAGGTATAACTGTCTATAAATTTAACCTCAAAACTTTTGTGTCTCCTGCTGACTCTCCTCCTCACTACTCAAAGGAAGAGCAGAAGACATTGTATTGCTAAAGGGAAGAGTTTGGAGATTGTGCCACAGGAATGGATAATTAGTTAATTAATCCACCATTTCTCTTGCCCTTTCTTCCACTGTACACAGCCTGTCTGAACACAAACATGCTCACCTTGCATGTAATGTCTTATTGAGGCAGGTAACTTAGGATATGTAGAAACTAAAGAATGTGGCACTTGGAAGAGATTGTCTTAAGTTTCACAGAAGTAAGGGAAAAGATCTAGTAACAGCTAAATCTGGAGAAATCTTGGTAMATTATGTTTAATTTGTCCCTAAAGTGATGAAAGGGGCTCATTTTGATCTCAAAATAGCATAGGGTCTGGGTTTGTAGTGCAGCATGGCAAACTGTCTCCAAAGTGCTATAACTAATTTCTATGGCTAAAGCAAGTGAAAAGTGCCTCATTTTATTTTGTAAAGAAACAAGTAGTGAGGTAGAAAGGGAATTCTGAAAGAA